GGAGTCTCGCAGCCCGGGGGCGGGGAGCTCGCCTCCGAAGGTCAGTGGGGACGGAGCTGCCCGGGGCGTCCTCTCGTTACTAAAACCGTCCGGGAGACAGCTTTTCCTTAAAAAAGAGCTGTTCCTGAGGTCTTGGGAACGCAGCCGTGGTGAGAGCGGGTCACCCCAAACCCGGTTGTGCTAAAGCCTCTGGAACTAGCTTTGCTCAAGGAGCCGGAAAAGGGGACTCCTCCTCCAGACGGCGTTTCTAGGTGGGTAAGCCGTAAATCAGCAATTATCGCCCAACGCCCCTTGTCTTTGCCACGCAAGGAGGTGAGTGGCACAGAGCTGCGTGCAAGCGCTTTGGGTGGAAATCCATTTGTGCGGTGTTGCGGTGAGCCGCACCTGCCACTGCCAGGCCGCTCGGATGAGTTGAAGCATGACCAGCCCGTGCTTTGCTCGGCCTGGTGGGGCTGGGTTGTGTCACCCGTCCGTGTGGGATGCGCTGCTTAATTTGTATGATGCTGTTCTTTCTGCTCGGCAAATCCTTTTCTGGAACAGCTCTAGACGTTGTGTGCAACTGATGTTTAGCTGCTTTCATGGCAGCCTTTTCTTCTCGCTGCGTCTCCTTAAATGCATTTGGTATTTCCTGCAGGAGGGGAAAAAAGTTATCTGTGGCAATGATAGATCCTTTAGAGAACAACTTGTTTGATCTTCCTGATTATGAGAATACAGAAGATGAAACGTTCCCACCTCTTCCACCTCCTGCCTCGCCAGGAAGAGATGATGTTGAATGGGCTCAAGCTAACAGAGGTGAATACCTGTGACCCCTGAAGATCCCATTTTGCAGCATAGACAATGAAGTGCTGTGAAATCAATATTATTGGTGATGTACTTCACAACCTTGAGTTTCCTGCGTAAAAAGAGTCTTGTGTAGATGAGAAAGCAATTCGCAAATTTACATTGTTACTGATTCTGTGCTTCCGAGCTTGTGGGAGAAGTTTATTTTTGTAGATTCCATGAAAACGTGCACACAAAGGAACCTGTATAAAATCCAAGCTCTTCTGACAAAACGTTGGCAAAGATCATTATACAGTGGTGATCTGTAGTTACCCTTTATGACTTGGATTTCAGAAGCGGTAAGAGTGTTGAATGTAGTATTCCAGGGAGATGTTGGTAGATTTTGTAGAGCATGTGACCTGGGAAAAATCCAAGATGCTTCAGGACAGTAAAATTTAATTATTTGTATTTGAAAAGATCTTACTGTGTAGTGAAAAAGCTAATAGAAAGTATAAAGATTTTATTTTAGCTATTGTTTACTTTACTCATATTTGCCTATGGTGTTAAACAGATGTCTTCATTGATCCCTGTTCTGTCTGTTCACTAGAAAATAGGATTTTGGATATACTTAATTCCTTGATACACATATCGAGGACAACTTCTGAATTCCTGATGTTCAAAGTAACAACAAGTAAACCAAGAAATCGGTGTGATAACTAATTGCTAGCTCTGAGATGAGGTGGGCAGCGGTGCCTTGTCTGTTGCAGTCAAAAAATATATACTGGCCCTAATCAAAAAGTATATGGACTTTGGTTCTTAAAAGGCACGTTGATTGTGGTCGCACATCACCTCTTTCTCTGTTTTTTGAAGGTGATGCTGGTGGTTTAGGTCTGTCTTTCAGATCTATCAGTGGACATTTTGGGACACACCTATCAAATATTTTAAAATCAAATAATACTGATTTATCAAAAAATAATAAATGATTGATAATTTGAGTTTCTTTACTTTTAGAAGGAGCATCTACTCTCAATACATTTCTCATCAGAAATACAATATAAAAGTTCTAAAATTAGGAAATTTCCCTTTCAAGGAACCTACTTTGCTAGAACAGTTGAAGGGACGGATTTATTTCCAAGCTGTTTTGTGGGAGAAGCAAGGTGAAGCATGCAGATTTTTGTTTGGAGAACCTTAAAATGTACATGATGCAATTCTAGTTGATGTCAACTGCATTTATACTTAAAGTATGTTATTTTCTTTATTGGAACTAGATGGAAACCAGCAGTCACAAACAAAGGATTCTGCTGTGGCTACACGCAAAGCAGTTAAAAGACCAACACCTAAGCTAGATGCCCAGAGGTAATTTTTTTACAGAATATTTCTTTCTGTGATGAATTTGGTGTATGGCTGTGGTGGAATGATTTAAGGTTACTGTGATCCCTGCTTGTTCATAGCCAAGTCAAAGAGCAAGAGTTTTGGAGATGATAGCGTGCAAGAGGCACTTTATCTCAAACTTCTTACTCCTTGCTTACCTGTGTGATGTTATTACTAGCCTAACTTTCTTGAAGTCTCTTTGGGACTTAGTACATGACTAATAATTTAAGATATATTTATTATTCATACATAGGACTCTTCCAGCTGAATATTCTTTATTTTGCTTCAGACATAGTACTGTAGACTTGCTTTAATAAAAGCGTGCTTCAAAGTAAAACCTCAATATACCGGTGACTGTAAGGTACTACTTAAAGTACGCTTACACCTGACTTATGTACAAGCTGGATAAACTGTATAAAAGGATTTTAATATTTTCTTTGCTGTTATCGGTAGAACTGGTGTAAGTTCTTTATAACCAATGGAAAGAATCTGAGCTTTCAGTTTCTTCTGTTTTAAATATACTGATGAAGTTAGTGATACGACGGGTGGATGCTCTGGTCATGCATCTAACTGGTTTTACTTGGCATATATCGATACAAGAACTGACTTGCCATGTAATGAAAATAAAAAAGCTCCTTGGACTAGGAATATATGTAGGGTAATTTTTCCAAACAAGTCTTTGGTCTTACAGACCTATTTTGTCTACTTGTCTTATTTTGTGCATCTTCTTAACAATTTCTAATTCTGTACATGTTTCAAATAGAGCTCTGTAGCTGTAGGCTATTTGAAGGAATGTGAGGTTGGTTGTGTGGTTTGTGGGTTTTTTTATTGTTTGTTTTTCATTAGAAAAAGAAAGCATGGGTTTCAAATAACTTCACCTATTTCGTATTAACAGATTAATTTCAGAAAGAGGACTTCCAGCCCTGAGACACATGTTTGACAATGTAAAGTTCAAGGGTAAGGGGCATGAGGTAAGACATAGTGAGCTTTTGTTTTGTTTCCTGGGAGGTTAATCTAGGCTTGAAAGATTGCTGCCCATCTGATATGGGGAGAATTGATACTACACTCTGATTAGCCAGCTGAGATCACTCAGCAATTACTGTCACAGGCAAAACAGGCTTGACTTGGGGAAAATCAGTTTAATTTATTACCAGTCAAATCAGAGTAGGATAATGAGAAATAAAAAACTAAATCTTAAAACACCTTCCCTCCACCCCTCCCTTCTTCCTGGGCTCAACTTCATTCCCAATTTTCTCTCCCTCCTCCCCCTGAGCGGTGCAGTTCATCACGTGTCGTCTCTGCCGCTCCTTCCTCCTCAGGGGAGGACTCCTCACACTCTTCCCCTGCTCCAGCGTGGGGTCCCTCCCATGGCAGACAGTCCTCCAGGAACTGCTCCAGTGTGGCTCCTTCCCACGGGCTGCAGCTCTTCCCCAACTGCTCCCGCGTGGGGCCCCTCCCCGGGGTGGC